CCCCATTAGCTAAAGTGGTGCTTCAGGTTAAGAACAGTTTCAGGTTAAGAACGGACCTCCAGAACGAATTAAGTACATAATCAGAGGTACCACTGTACACTTAGAGAAGAGGACATGGTTTGCATGCAGAAGGTCCCAAACAGAATCATTGGCATCTTCAGCACCGATCTCCAAGACCTCTGCCTCTTAAGAGGCCCTGGGCCATAAAACTGCTGCCAGTCAACATAGGTAGCTAGATGACCTGACCTGATATAGCTATGTTTCTATACAAATAGAATATAGAAGCAAGAACCCATCAAATTGTTCACGTTTAATAGACAAAGTGTATATGTTCTCTTTGAGATGAACTTGGAAATAAACCAATTATTCCAATAATATTACTCAAACCTATATCAGTCCAAGGAACATTTACAGATTGATACCCCTTCAAAGTGAGGGCAATGTGTTTGGTTTGATTTGCCCTTGCTCTCTTACATCACATAGCCAAATCTGATTAGCTCCATGATGCCATAGCATCCTTAAGTTTATTACAGGATCCCTGATTGGATGGGATCACATAGTGAAGCAGAAAGAAGATCCCAAATACTGTATTGAAACAACAAATACATCTGGGCTGTGAGGAGCATGTCAAATATGAGTTGTCACAAAGTAAGGTTTTGGCGGCAACTTTAAGCTCACTCCAGAAGCAGTCCTAATCAAGCCATTAGAAAAATGACTGGGGGGAAATAGAGCCTTTGGTATCAAAACAACCTGGCAACATTAAACACAATAATATTGTGTTGCACCTTTTAGTACTCATACAACATCATCATCATCATCATTCATTTAGCATCAGCAGCAGGAGTACGAAGGGGCACTTGTTCACTCCTTCATGTAAATGAAGTGTCTGAATCAGACCATAGTAATTCATTCTTACCAGGACAGATTTACTACAGGGTGGGGAGGCTGTGACCTCAGCTGTTATGGGTCTACAGCTCCCATTATCCCTAATCATTTGTCATGTTGGCTGAGGCTGATGGATTCCAATTTGTTGTTTAGTCGTTTAGTCGTGTCCGACTCTTCATGACCCCAGAGCACGCTAGGCACTCCTGTCTTCCACTGCCTCCCGCAGTTTGGTCAAACTCATGCTGGTAGCTTCGAGAACACTGTCCAACCATCTCGTCGTCTGTCATCCCCTTCTCCTTGTGTCCTCAATCTTTCCCAACATCAGGGTCTTTTCCAGGGAGTTTTCTCTTCTCATGAGGTGGCCAAAGTATTGGAGCCTCAGCTTCAGGATCTGTCCTTCCAGTGAGCACTCAGGACTGATTTGCCCTGCAGGGAACTGACAAATGGAGGGTCCTCACTGAAGCATGAGAACTGGGAAATTTTCTTATACCTTTTAGTCCTATAATGCTACTCTGTTTTAGACAACCGACTTTCTGTTAATGATGTGTAATCCCATTGAATGATGGTGGAACACGATTTTGAGTTCTAACTTGATACTTAAAATGTGTGTGGTCTGTCTGGTTTAATCACATCCTGTCCCTGCTGTTCCTCTTTCTTGTTTTGATATAGAAATTTTAAGAATGTGTTTTGTTTTTACTTTTAGAGGGTTTTATTATTATTTTTAAAAACATGATAACATATCACATTGGCTGTTTATTGCAGGAATTGGAAATTATGGGCCGACATGCCATTTGATCAAGGAACTCCACCCTGAATCTTTGCTGACCCAAAGCGGAAGAATATAAAAGTGGGAAGAGCTTTATATTTGGGAGAAATTAAAAGCTCTACTTCAGGTTGCCATGGCTACAATATTCTATTCACTGTTTCAACTCTTGTCTGACTATCCAAACATAGGTAAAGTAATTATCATGAAAGCAGGATGTGATATGTAATCATCCATTAGATTAAGACAGATTTAGGTTTAGCTGAATTGCAGTGCTGTGATTACTTGCCTTTGGAGTACTGACTTCAGTAATAATGTTGCTCAATAAATTGTATACGTACTTTGCAAATTCATAGATACTAGGTTTCTTTTTCTTTCTTTCTTTTAACATCCAGCCACATAATTTGCTTGAGAGCTCAAGCTAAACTACCATTTTGCTTATGGATTTGAACATCACTCTGCAATACACTTACAACCCTATCCTAAATGAATTAAGTTGTCACCCCCTCATTCTGTATAGCTTTATTAAGGCTTCATGCCAGAGTAGGGAATGTAAACATGAGCAGAAGATGTTAGAGGCATGTTCTACACTCAGAAGCACCCTTCACCTGAATTGGAATATTAATAATTTTCTCCCGTACAAAGAAAAACATGGAAAGAATGGACAGAATTAGACTGTACCCCCACACCCATTTACTTGAATGTAAGCTCCCTGGAAGTGAATGGGAGTTACTCCTGAGCAGACATGAATGTGATTGCATGGTTAATCTCTTAAATCTAAGTACCCTAATTATAGGGGGTGGCGCTGTGGGTAAAAGCCTCAGCGCCTAGGGCTTGCCGATTGAAAGGTCGGCGGTTCGAATCCCCGCGGCGGGGTGCGCTCCCGTTGCTCGGTCCCAGCGCCTGCCAACCTAGCAGTTCGAAAGCACCCCTGGGTGCAAGTAGATAAATAGGGACCGCTTACCAGCGGGAAGGTAAACGGCGTTTCCGTGTGCGGCTCTGGCTCGCCAGAGCAGCGATGTCACGCTGGCCACGTGACCCGGAAGTGTCTGCGGACAGCGCTGGCCCCCGGCCTCTTGAGTGAGATGGGCGCACAACCCCAGAGTCTGGCAAGACTGGCCCGTACGGGCAGGGGTACCTTTACCTTTAGTCTGCATTAAGGATTGTTGGCTAAAGGGCAGATCTGCAACACATTTAAGCACATCCATGCACATTTAAAGCACGTGGCTTTTCCAAAAGATGCTGGGAACTGTTGTTTAAAGGTGCTGGAAATTGTATCTCTGTGAGGGGAACACAGTTTGCAGGGTTCTTTAGGAAAGTCATGTGCTGTAAGTGTGCACTGAATGCACCTGCCCTTTAAGTTGCAGGTTGTGACTATAACTGCAGACCCTCATCACCTAACTCCATTGCTCTACTAAAAGGAGTGTATTGTCCTATTTATTCCAGCACTAGGGATGGGTGCATTTTACTGGTTTCAAGCTGGAAATATTCCAGTAAAATTGGGTTATTTTTCTGGTGCATAAGTGGAAATAGAAATACTTTAGTTACCTTTTCTGAACCTGTTGGACCTCTAAATGTAGAGGTAGGGGTGTGTGTGGGTGTGGGTGTGTTACATTTGTAAATCACTCCTCAGCCCCAGGATTTCAGGGTGGGGAACACACATAACAAAACCATTAAACAGTTAATTCAACCAATGAAACCAGTTCATAAGTAGCATAAAAAATAGCCATACCCAAAGGCTTGTGTGTGTTTTCAACTGCCTTTTTTTTTTAAGGGAAAACTAATCAGAGTGGCAGCTTTACCTCTATAGGTACAGAATTTCTCAAATGGGGACCAACACAGAGAAGTTCTTATCCCTTTTCAACGCATAGCAAACTATGCTTATTGATGGGGACATGAGGTGGGACTCCCCTGCAGATCACATGGGGAGCCAACCTAGGAAGAGGCATTCTGTCAGGTAGCTGGGCTTTAAGTCATTTCTGACTTTACATTGAAGTCAGCACCTTGAATTGTGTACAGTCATAAATGAATGGCCAGTGCAGTTTGTGCAAAATTGATACTATGTGATTCCTTCTTGCTGCATTACTCAGAGCTTGTGCTCTTGCACTTTTATTTTATACTTAAGTGGTACATGATGGTGCCTAGAGGCATCTGGGCAGGCCATGAGTTGCACTTCACAGATAAGGGCCTCCCTGCTCTGGGAAATGACCTTGGGAGGTAGCAGCCTGCCCTGCCCTGAGGTGAACTGTGCAGAGGCCCCAAATACTGGCTTCCCTGTGTACACATAGTGCAGCTGTGGACATGTGGCATCATGACAAACCCAGGTCTTGGGAGGCCTATAAATCCCAGGAGGCAAACTGACATTGCAACAGATTCCAGTAAGTTGTTTGTTTTATCTATGGGCCGGACGTGCTTTTAGTATTTCTGGTTTTATCAATGTCGTGAGTTTTATGGGAGGTTTCATATTCTATCCTGTTTTATTATTGTCAACATTTTTTTATTAGTAATTGTGCAAATACTTTAAATAAAACAAAACAAATCTCAAGGCCATACTAGGGTGGCTTCCCCATGCACCTTTAGTAATATTAGAAATCTGAGGTCAGCAAAGCAAGTGTCAGCTACTGGGCTAGGTATGTCCAGAGAACCAAAATTCTCCTTTCCAGGAGCTGAAGCAATGCTGGCATGATCGAGATCCTTGTATGTCTCAGCTATTTCGAAAACAAGTCTGACTTTCCAATACTTTGGTCTCCGACCTTCCAGAGCTGCAGATGAGCAGCGACTCTTCCCCTCTTTGCAGTCTTTCCCAGAAGCTCTAAAGTGCGCTCTTAGGATGTATTAGTGCCACTCCAATTTTCTCCGACATGAAAGCGACTCGAAGACCTTCATCACAGCTGAGTGCAACAAGCGTGCTTGCAGATGCTATTTGCGATGAAGGGTATGTGACAGGATGCTTATTATGGCCAGCCGATTGTCATGTCCCAGGTTTGTGCAGAAAGGCGTGCAATTCCCCCCCCCCCTTTCCCCAATTCTTTTCCGGCTCCGGTCAGCCGACCAGTCCTGCTGGGTCCTGCTGCTTGCCGACTTTCCTTTCAGACCATGTGCCACATCTGTTTGTTGTTGCAAGTGGAGAGGCGGCTTGATCTCGCTCGCCTTGCCTTGAACTCACTAATTCCAGACTTCTGGGGGACGGAGTCCAGAGGCTGGTGGGGCTTCAGCACCAGCGCCGCTGGACAGCTCCACAAGCCGGAGCTGCGCAGAGGGGCTCGGCGAGGCGCTTGGCGTTTGGTCCGGCTGGACGGTTGCTCTGTGCGCAGCAGCCTCTCTCTCGCCTTCCTCCCAGGCAAGCCTGTGGTTTTAAGCGGCGGAGACCGTCCCCTTTCGGGGGCGGGGAAAGGGCGGACTCCGGGCGTCCGGAGCGCGCATAAAACCCCACCTCCCGCTTCAGGACTGCAGCTACAATTGGCTCGATGAGGCACTGGGAGAGATGTTGAGCTGGCTGCTTCCACCCATGGCTCTGCACACACACAGGGGCGGGTTGTGCCGGGGAGAACGGGAGGCTGGGCTCCGAGGCGGCGGAGGCGGTGGAGGAGGAGAAAGCGGCTGTGCCGCTGCTCCCGCAGCCTGCCTGCCTCCTTCGGTGACCGAGCCCCTGCTGCTGCTGGGCTGCTGCCTGCGGCCGGACGACCCGGCCGAGCGGGGGCTGCTGCTGGCGCCGGCGGGCGAGATGATGGCGGAGGGCGGCGGCGGCGGCGGCCAGAGGCTGAAGGCGCTCTCGCTGCTGGAGGCGGCCCGCTGCCGCTACGAGAGCCTGCAGATCTCCGACGACGTCTTCGGCGAGTCGGGCCAGGACAGCAGCGGCGGCAACCCGTTCTACAGCACCACGGCCGAGTCGCGCTCCGCCTCCGACGAGGACGCCGACGAGGAGCGCGAAGCCCCGGACGGAGGACGCAGCCAGCGGGGAAGGACGGCGGCGAGACGCGGAGCCAAGCCAGCGGCCGAGCAGCAGCAGCAGCAAGTGCCCGGCGACTCGGAGGCGGCTTCCCCGGCTTCCCTGGAGCAGCAGCAGGAGGAAGAGGAGAAGGTGGAAGAGGAGGAGGTGGAGGATGAGAAGAGGGGCTGGAGCCAGAGCTTGAGAAACACCGCGACCCCTTCCTTCAAGGATAGCAGCGGTAAATCGGCTCGGGTGTGTGTGTGTGTGACGGTGGGGGAGCTTAGGTGACTCGAAATGCGTGGGTCTCTAAGTGTGCGCGTGGGGCGAGTAGCAACCCTTCGCCCCTCGTTCCGAGGATTCTGTAAAGTGCGGTGGGGAGAAGTGGGGAGTTACTGGGTGGTGCGGGGAAGGCGCAGCCCCTGGTGCCTAAGACTTCCTGGTTAGGGAAAGACCCGCGAACTTAGGGAAGAGCACGTCTGGACGGGCTCCCGGGTAGGTGCATGGCTTCCTCCTCGCCCTGTTGGCCGGTTCTTCTTGCGAGGAGCGCCCCGCTTAATTCCCAAAGACGGCGGCACCATCGAAAGTGTGGCACGGTCTGTAATGGGATGGTCCCCTGTTGCATCCGGGCTGCTGCTGTGCCTAGCCAGGAAAGTGTCAAGAGATGTGTGCGTTTTATAAATGGATAACGGCGATGCTCTTCTATCGAGTGACTCTTCCACATTGTGGGGTGTTGGGGAAAGAACCCCCTTTTGAAGCGGGGTGACCCTGCCTGAGCAGAGCCATCTTCTGTGCGAGCTCGAAGGAGAGGAGGAAGGAAGCTGATCTCGTCAGTGCCAGACTGCAGTCACCGCTGCTGCCTAGATCTGCCCAGAGGAGAGGAGATGCGGAAAAGGCGCATCGCTCTCCAGGAAGCAGAGGAAGCTGCCTTCGAGCTGGTCAGAGCTAGTTGATCCAGCTAGTTCAGTGCTGTTCACACAGATTGGCAGCGTCTTCTGGGGGTTTCAAACAGTGGCTTTCTCAGTTCTACCTAGGGCATTCTTCATGCAAGGCGAATGCATGAAGGTCCCTCCCCATCAGCGGCATAGCGTGGGTTGTCAGCACCCGGGGCAAGGCAAGTAATTTGCGCCCCCTAACCCGTGGATTTGCGCCCCCTAACCTGTGGATTTGCGCCCCCTAACCCGTGGATTTGCCCTAACCCCAGATGTTGCGCCCGGTGCGGCCGGCCCCCCCTGCACCCCCCACGCTACGCCACTGCTCCCCATTATTGTTCTCTTTAATTAAATATAAATTATAAATAAAATATAAAAGGGGAGTGGGAAACCGGTTTTTATGATGTTGTATTTTGACATTGTTGTAACCTGCCCTGGGACCTTGTATCAAGAGGAAATAATAATGACTACTAATAAAAATAAGGGAACTAAGGCAGGCTCCATCCCATACCATCTGTTTAGAGGGCAAAGCCTCAAAAAGTCTCAGATCCATTCCATTTTCCAGTTTCAGAACTGGCCGTGTGGTCTGATCTGTAGAGTTTGAGGGAGCTGCGGAGCATTCAAAAACAAAGCACCTTGGAAGTGTGTTCCCGAAAAGGGGACCACCCTGTGCAGTAAAATGGTCATCCTTTCAAGTAACAGAGCATTTTGGAAATTTCTGCTTGAGAGAATCCCTCTCTAACCTGAGTAGTAACAAGGAAGCCTTGGGTGTTCAACTGCTGAGCCAAGCCGTCTCACTGCATCTTGTAAAGAGTGGGTCAGCAGACATAAATGAGCTGCAAGATCCCCAGAGCTAGTGCGACAGCCCAGCCCTGAATGTCTGGCTGCATCCTGGCCTCATTAAAAGACTAGCTTGTAGGGCAGACTCCTCTTCATCATGCCTGTTAGTCATTAGGGGAACAAGCTTTTCTTAGGCTGCGGCCTGGGAAACCAGCTGCGCAGGAGGAGAAAGGAGTGAGGTGGCTTTCAGGAATGGATGCACAGAGGTTCCTAAGTTTTCTTTGGATATCACTTTAACTAAGTGTAGATCTACATGCCAGTCAGAAACTTTGAAAGCTTAGTCATTGGCAGGCAGGGCTTGGCTACTTTTGGAAAATGACAACTGCCTCTTGTTTATGATTGATTATTTATGAGAATGGTTTATATCCCACCTTTTAGGATACAAATCCTTTCAAGTTGGCTTAGAAGTAGCATTTAAATTACATTTTTAAAAGCAACAATCAATATCAACATATTAAACATATTAATAAGTTTTCGGGATTCTTCCTCTGGGCCAGTTGGTGGCAGGTGGAGGTAAGTCTAGCTGGAGGTGGTCTTTTGAGGTGTTCTGGCTGGAGGTGGCCTTCTGAGATGGTCTTTGCCTTGTCCCTTTCTCTCCTGGGATCCCAGGAGGGGCAGGGATTGGATTAGCAGGATCATAAGCCCTTCTCCTTGGATGATTCCAGGAGAGTTCATAAATGAATGTTCACCACTCGGTGACTGCAACAGCAAGTGATGACTTGACTGTAAAAAATGGTAATACATCGTGCATGTGAGAATCTGCTTTTGTGTTGCTCAAATACAGTAATTTTTGCCCATAGAGACGGTTCTACCAAGAGCCAGTGGGTGACGAGTTCTAAGTGACAAAGGTGCAAGTGTGAATTGGCCCTAAGGATACCTCTGAACAACAAAGCGCATGATGCAGGGCTCTCTGGCATTCTGCAGTGAGTGGGAGGGGAGCGTTTCTCATGAAGCACAATACTGTATCTACTTGCTCTCATCTAGTCTGCAGAATCATAGAATCAATGTCCAGACCTGTGACCCTCCTGAAGTTGATGGTCTTTAGCGCCCACCATCTCTGGCCATTGGCCATGTTGGCTGGGGCTCATGAAAGATGGAATCCAACAACATCTGAAGGGCCACAGGTTCTTCATCATTGGTCTAGGTAGACATTTATGAGTGATTATTGAGGACTGTGTCAGATGGGACTCCTAATGAGTCTGACTAGGAAATTCAAAGTTGGTGAATAAACTTTTTTTTTAAAGTGTGCTGACAAATGTGTGGCTCTTAACAATGTGATATACCAGGTTTTATAGTATGTAGTGGTGAAAAATGTCGGATGTAGCCTGGTTAAAATTATATTGTAGCATTTTAACATTTTCTTAATGAAGAACCCCACCACTATACTGGATGCATTCACTGCACTGAATTGTAAGAACTGGACAATGTGAACAGATGTTGGCAACAGCTGTGTAGCAAGTAGGAGTGGGTGTTGCTCCAGTTGGAATTTCTTTGGAATTATTTATCTGTGTATGTGTGGTGGGGGAGTTTGTCTTTTTTCGGAGACTTCTTGTCTAGCTCCTAATTTCTTCAATTGGTTCTCAAAATTGTATGTTGGTTTCTCAGTTTGTTTAAGCCTTGGATTCTATATTTACACCCCCACCACATGTGGACAGCCCCCTCCAACATAACACCAAATATGCCTTGTTTGTTTGATTTAATCTGACTGGTGTAAAATACCTTTTATAACTATTTTCTTCTTTATCCCCCTTTTTATAATCATTTTTTCATATTTTGTATATTCTTTGCAGTTCTTGTTTTCCCTTAACCACTTCTTTGTCCATTGCTCCAGTTGTATACATTTAAACCAAGTTATTTTACTTCCTGTTAGAGCTTCTCTTATTTGTTTTTTGCTTCTCATTTTCTTCACCCAATCCTTTATTTTAAGTATTTTCTTCTTTCACTTTTTCAGTTTCTATTTTTTAAATTTACTTGCCCTGGATACTATGGATGGAAATGTGTAAAAAACAACAACAACAAAGCAAATAAAAGAAACAAAAAAGACCACCCCAAAGGATGATTATTTTATTTTTAGAGGCTCCAAGGATTTGCATAATACCTGAGCTACTGGCACAAGGCATAGCTCTGGAAAGGCTGTGGTCCCTGAGCTTGTTTGACTATAGGGATGGAGAGGGAATTTTGATTCAGTTTGCATTTGAAGTGAATCTGCTTAATTCATTCTTTCCATAACTACACAAACCAAAAAAACACAGATATGTTTCAAAATTTGCACTCTGCTGAATTTGGAGGGCAACTTTCCAGCCAAGTTATGTGTACAAAATACAGTGGTACCTCGGGTTAAGAACTTAATTCGTTCCAGAGGTCCGTTCTTAACCTGAAACTGTTCTTAACCTGAGGTACCACTTTAGCTAATGGGGCCTCCTGCTGCCACCGCGCCACCGCCACACCGCCACGTGATTTCTGTTTTCATCTTGAAGCAAAGTTCTTAACCTGAGGTACTATTTCTGGGATAGCGGAGTCAGTAATCTGAAGCGTCTGTAACCTGAAGCGTCTGTAACCTGAGGTACCACTGTATGCATATACTAAGTTATCACATGCATACAAATACAAACATTAGTGAAAATAACAAAATGCATTATATTGGGGTGAAAAAATGAGAAACCAAAATTGACAAGCTATTTGATCAAGCTCAGGGAATATTCTTGAGCCACATGAGCTGAAAGGGAGACAAGACTAGCTTGATATACTTTGTACACTTCTTGTATTTAGCCCATGTGTTTGGTAAGACCTCTGCCCTAGTTGTGCTCCCAGGTCTACAGTGACTTGAGCTGTTGTAGCGGAGAGGGGAGATTTACAAAGCCAGTATAAATGTCCCAGGCTTTAACTCACTGCTGCCGCATTGTGAGTGTTGGAGAAGGCCTCTCCCTCCTCAGGCTAATTCCATCTGGCCTAGGGGCGGGGCCCAGGCTCACCTTCGCCACAGCTTTAAAAGGCCTCATTGAGGACTGGGATATCACTGCTGCCGCATTGTGAGTGTTGGAGAAGGCCTCTCCCTCCTCAGGCTAATTCCATCTGGCCTAGGGGGCGGGGCCCAGGCTCACCTTCGCCACAGCTTTAAAAGGCCTCATTGAGGACTGGGACATCACTGCTGCCGCATTGTGAGTGTTGGAGAAGGCCTCTCCCTCCTCAGGCTAATTCCATCTGGCCTAGGGGGCGGGGCCCAGGCCCACCTCCGTGATAGCTTTAAGGACACTGGTGCTGCAGCAGCAAATGTTAAAGATGCTTATATGTATTTTAAGGTGTTTTAAAGGTTCTTTTATTGTTTACTTTGTTGTACCACCGTGAATGGTGGTTTTTATCTATGTATTTTTGTTTTGTTCCGTTTTGTTTTGTTTTGGGGTCAGACACTGAGTGGGGTGGGGATTGGTTTTGTTTGAGCATAATTGTTTTTGGTTGTTTTGTTTTGTTT